GAAAGAGACAGAGATGGTGAAAGGGAAAATGAGAAACCACCCCCTATGGAGGATGGCTATGCCTCAATTCCTTCTTCTCCATTCTCCTCCCAGAATCTTGGGTGTGCACACATGTGCCTGGCATGACTTTCAAGCCACCGAGTCTAGGACTCTAACTATGGCCAGCTATGTGTGAGTCCAGTGATGTAACTCATCCCATCAGCTGGCCCTCCAATTGTTTTTTGTTTATTTGTTTTTTTAATTTACTAGTGTGTGTATGTACTCACAAGAGAAAGAGAAAAGGAAAGTGAGAAAGTATCCCTGTCTCATGGGGGATGGTCATGCTGCCATCTTTCCCTTTCATTTCTCCTTTTGGGATTTGGGGGTCATATACACAGGTACTCAGAGTGCTTTTCAAGGCACAGGGTCTGGGACTCCAACCATGCAGTTGATCCTGTGGGATCCAGCCACCTGAACTGTCATGCCACCAGCTGGCCTGAAAGATAGTATTTTCAAAGTAGTTGAAGGATTGTTTACCCACGGATTGCTGTCTCTTGACACTTTATGGAATCTCTTGATGTATTTCACTTTATGGAATGTATGCATTATTAGATACTTGTAGAGATTGTGTTCCCTTTTTTAAAGGTATTTATTTAATTATTATTATTATTATTATTTTAATTTGCTCTAGGGCACATTTATTCACCAGAGAGAAACAGAGACAGAGAAGGAAAGTGAGAAAGCAAGCTGCCAGGTCCAGGACTCAATCCGTGGTCAGCTAAGTGGGAGTCCAGTACCTTAGCCACCACACCACCTGCTGGCCTGAGATTACCTTTATAATTTTTAAATTACTTTGCTCTCTATTGTAAAAATTAGTTGTATTTTAACAGATGTACATTTTAGAGTTAAAATGTAAGAGTTACGTTTTCAGAGTACAGCAACCTTTTTCATACCATACTGAAAAGAATTATGATCTAAGTTACAAATTACAAATAATTAATGAGTCATTGAAGTATCATGTCAAAATTTTCATTCTTCAGATCCATCCCATAGGATACAGTTATTGATACCTACTCCTCTGTATTTACTAAGGATAATCACTATAATTAAATGCTGTTTCTTATTCTTAATCACTCCCCCCCCCTTTTTTTTTTTTTTTAAAGCTCTGGGTTTCCTTCATTTTCCTGTGGAAGTAGCGGTAGCAGTTCATCAAACACAGCTGTCAATTCTCCTGCCATGTCCTATAGACTCAGCATTGGTGAATCTATCACCAACCGACGAGATTCTACTATAACCTTCAGTAGCACCATGAGCTTGGCCAAACTTCTACAAGAGCGAGGCATCTCTGCCAAAGTGTACCATAGTCCAATATCAGAGAACCCTGTCCTCCCACCCCTCCCTAAAGCCCTGGCTATCCCTTCCACACCACCAAATTCACCATCTCACTCACCTTGCCCTTCTCCTTTGCCCTTTGAGTCTCGAGTGCATCTCTCTGAAAATTTTTTGGCCTCCCGACCAGCTGAAACATTCCTCCAGGAGATGTATGGCTTGAGACCTTCCCGGAATATTCCTGATGTTGGCCAATTGAAGATGAACTTAGTGGACAGGCTGAAGAGACTGGGGATAGCCAGAGTGGTTAAGACCTCTGATACCAAGGAGAATGGAAGAAGCCAAGATGCAGAAACTGCTCTTCAAAAATTAGACTCTGCTGTTTATTTAAATTCAGGTAGCAGTTTACTGGGGGGACTGAGGAGGAATCAGAGTCTTCCAGTCATGTTGGGTAGCTTTGGTGCCCCAGTTTGCACATCCTCACCCAAAATGAGTATCCTGAAGGAAGACTGAGGCTCAGCCATTAACTGACCTTTCCAAAGTGGCACTTGAAGGTTGAATATGCACTGATGTACGTGGTCTGGCCTGACTTGAGAGAAAAGGAATGTTGCAGAAGGGTTGTGAATGTGGAATGGGGGAAGTGAAGAAGAAAGGAGATGAAATTGGGATGGATCCCTGTGGATGGAGTCTGGTAAACTGAAAGTATAAATGAATGGGCCATGAGTATGTGGAGACAGAGAAAGAAGGAAGGTTTAATAAACTCCTTCAGTTGAGTTTTCTTGTCTTGAAAATAAAAAGTTAATAGAAAATAAATTCAGCCATACTGAAACATACCAGAAACACTGAGCTTGCTGCCATATTTACTTCTAATAAGCCCACCCAAGCAGGGAGAACCCCGGTTAGAAAACGTAAAGGAGCAGCTTTGACTATTTTATTCAAAGCTGTTCTGAAGGGCTGGCAAGGTAAGCTCAGTCTGTTATGAGAGGATGGCTTGTATGTTTCCCCGTTAGTGTCTGGGTGAGTGCTCAGAGCACTAGCAAAACAAGGACTTTCGTCTTTTTCATTATATCAGAGGTCGAGACTCCCTTTTTCCTCTCTATCTTAAGGACTTTGGCCACTGAGAACTCAAACACCACCCAGTTTCCTTTGTATTTATGATAAATAGAAGTTCATTTTCTAAATTTGTATTTTTATATAAAAATACTCCAGAAGCAACGTGAGTAGGGGGGTGGGAGGGATTTACTTTTAAGAAGGACAATGTGGGCAAATTGGAGCGAAGGAAACTTTTTTTTTAGAATATTTCTTGTGGATAAATGCAGTGACTGAGGAATACAAACATAAGTGCATGTCTTTCAAATTTCCTTGGAGGCTGAAAGGGATTAAACCAGAAGTGCAATCAATAGGAATTAGGGAATGTTGTATATTTATAAATGTATAAATTTTTGTAAAGAAAGTTGGTTGCAACTAACTTTCTTCAAAGTGCGCTATGCATATTTTTAATGAAAGATGACATGTATTTGCACAAAAATTCTCAGGCACATTAAATTATTATAAACTGAAGTAAAACCCAGGTGCTTGCTTTGAGATTGTGTTTGATTTTTTTCCCTAATGTAAAATAAAATTTCAACAAATTTGCCTCATTCTTGATATCTGTAGAATTAGAGAATGAACTTTTTTATTTAAAATTTTTTTTTAAAGAAAGGGTCTCACCATGTTGTGATCCTCCTGCCTCTGCCTCCTGAAGAGCTGGGACCACAATTTTGTGCCACCACACTCAGCTCTTTCAGATGGGGTTTCACTATGGTGCCCATGCAGTCCTCAGGCTTGAGATCCTCCTGCCTCAGGCTCCTGAGTAGCTGGAACGGAGGGCACCCGCTACCACACCCAGCTTTTAGGATGGGTTGGGAATTGAACCCAGGCCTCCCATGTGGCCTCAGCCTGCCAGGTAGCAGCATCAGTCAACATGCACAACATAGCTGGGCCAGAATGCACTTTTTAATGGGAGAGTCAAAGCTTTTTCTTGTTCCCTGGGTTCTATTTTTCTTTTCTCAAACTGAAATGGCAAAGTGAGACTCTGTAATTAAGTTTCAGCTTTCAGGAGTCTGATGCCAGGCTGTTTTGGGGGGAAAAATAGGATTATTTTCTGAGTTACTGATCAAGACCTGCCCATCACCAGATGACATGGCTTGTGAGACATGATGGAAAGAAGAGGAGGCAGGGGACGAATTGCCTTGTTTATGAAAATGGGTGGGAGGCACATTACTTGATCTTTTTGGTGCCTGATTTGCCAATGTTTTGTTCCTTTGTCCTGACTTAACTAAAAGGCAATTTTAAAAGCATTCTTAATTCTTGTAATAACACTTTTCTAAATACATATCTCAAAAATAGAGGGTAAAGATGTCCCCTCCCTTCCCTTTGCTGATCCTGCTGAGGTTAGCAGAGTGTTTCCACGCATGTTCTGAAAGGAGTACAGCAGGCCCATAAGTGAAGGTAAGCCTTCCCAAATGGGTCGGACATTAGATATTAGCATTTCTGATGTTTAAATCTCCTAAATATTCTAATTCATGTTTTTGAAAATAGCATTTGAATTTCTGCTTCATTCAACAACTCTGGGTGCTTATTTTAGGCAACTCTTAAATCCTTTTACTAGTTCTCTAAGAAAATAATCTATTGCATAGACAGTTACAGTTTCCAAGAAACATCAGGAAGTAGGAAAAGGTAGGGCCAGAGAGTAGTACCAAGTTGAATGATCAGATAGGCATATATTATATAGAAAGCCAAAAATTAAGCTGGATTTTGTATTGTTCTGTATTGAGTATAACTCATATGCGTTTTAATAATCAATGCCTATGATATTTTGGAGGCAAGGTGAGAGTGCATTAGCAGCCAAATAAGCACATCTGATTAAAGAGAATCAAACTTGGGTTTTTGAAATTTAGATTGATGTTGCAATTCCACCTGAAACATAATTGTATACTGGTGCATGCTTGGCTCTAGAAATGAATTCTGTCTTCAAACTGGGTTTTGCTCTTTAAAATCATATTGGGAACAGCCCGAGAATCTCCATTGTCACAGAATTGTCTGCAAAGTATATAGTACAAAGAACTGGAGCCTTATAGGAAGTTCCTCCTCAGTTTATCTGTTATACTTTGGTACTGTTCACATTTTCGTTTTTTTTTCTATGATATCAACTGTGTATGTATTTCATGCCAGTGTAGGAAACTCCAGTCTTTTTTTTCCTCCTTCAAGAGAGTTTTCAGTGATTGTACCTCAGGTATTTTCTGAGTATCCTATTATCTAGTAGGAGAGAGAGCTTTCTGAGCTCAGAATTCAGAATTAGAAGTTCTCCTGAATTATGAGAATCCCAAATATATGTAAATAGTTTTGCACATGAGTCTTTAGGGAAAAGTTAATAACCATTGTTAAAGTAGCTTTTAAAAAAAATAATAATACGCTGTGTGTCTTCAATTTTGACATAAATGAACCAGCAGACTTTGGCACAGGAGAAAATATGTTAGAGGCAGCTCACAAGAGTCTACTCTCTATTAAAGTTATATTTTGCACAGTATTCAAAGCTTATTTTTTCTGACTAATCTAGTACATAGTTAGTACTTGGCAGTTATTAACATCAAGTTTTGACCTCTGGAATTTGGGCTTTTAGCGTGAAGTCCACCTCTCTAATGTCAAATGCATGAAGGCCTGAACTGTGCAACACAGCAGCCGGTGTGAGTGCCCTCAGGGACCGCTAAGGAGACTCTGTTGTTTGATATCTGGAGCCTGACTTTGTCACACAGCTCGTTGTGCACCTACCTTCGCTTTGTCAGATGTAAATCAGAAAATAAACATGAGTAGCTTCTTAAATTTTCATTTGCCTGTCTGTGTTTTTGTACTGCTCTTTGCACAAATAAACTCACACTTAAGTCTTTCCTTTTCATTGTGTGCATTTTTTTTTATTAGAAAACAGTCTCCATGAGCAGCCAGATGGTAATGCAGATGTTGAACACAATGCCTCTGCAAGGCTGACCCACATGGAAAGGTTCTGGATTTGTGTCCAGAGACTTCCCTGACTACACTGGGTATGTGCGTACCTATGATTAAAGACTGGCTAAGGCTGGCGTAGATCATGGTATCAAAACCCTCTTAGGGATCTTTGTCTCTCTCTTTCTCTTGTTCATGGAAAAAATACAAATAATTTTTTTTAATAGAAACAGTCTCTCTGAAGAATCTTAAAAAGTGGATGGAAAATGCTTATGAAAAAGTGATGCATAAATTCTTTTTTAAAATTATGCAACAGAGGGACCAGCAGTTAGCATAATGGCTATGTCAGTGGACTCCCATGTAGTCAACTACTGTTCAAGTCCCAGACCCTGTGGCTTAAACTCACGCCAGGCGCATGTGTGTGTGTGTGCCCAAGATCCCGAG